AATCAATGACATACCATAACTTATTTAGTAATAAGATTTTTGATGTACATGTATAAATCATTGGACTCGCCACGCTTGCGTAGGCGGGTTGGGTTGTCATCCTGGTCAACGTCTTTTTTACTGAGCTCTCCTGAGTTATAATTCTTTTTAAGCTCTGAGAAAAAGGTAATTTATTTAGCTCCATTGTATTTTAAAATAGCAATCCGTGGTAGCAAAAGCTGAATATTTTCAAGAATAGACCACTTTTCCTAGCCAAATGTTCGTGTTTCACTCTATTTGGTCAAGATTAGCATTGATAGGTAGAGAAAAGTATACCTAGATAAAAAAATATGTGGGAATTTTATAATCTCTTTTTTGTTTGTGAGTTACAGTTGCTCAAAGTTTGTGATTTAGCCTCTTCAAAAAATTTTCAGGCAGCACTGGGGAAAGTAGGAGCAACCAAACTATCTCAGTCTCTTTTAAATATCTAGGTAAATTTTTTGTGCTAACTCTTTCCTTGAATAGAGCTAGCCACGTGCCATGTTTATCTGCAGATCTGCTAAGTGCTGACCACACCTATAATTTATTTTATGGATCAGTGCAGTAATTGCATTGTTGCAGCTTACTCAAAATCTATTATCCTTTTTTCAAATATCAAGCTGCTTATATATATAATATCATGATGGGGCAATACAAGTACCGTATAGTGGGTAATTTTCAGTGGTTGAAAATTTCGACTGAAACCAGAAATGACTTTAGAATAAAAATTCGTTGGTTTTATTTTTGACTAGACAAAAATAATTGATCTGATGTCTTCATTAGCATCTGTAGGACTGATAGCATTAGAAAGAAGTCCCCTGGTCCTGTAGGGTTAGTCTCGCGTAGCCAGACCCATCCCCCTTGTCAAAGAGGGGGATGGGTCTGGCTATGCGAGACTACTGTAGGGTATGGAAGAAATTTCTTAGAAGGTGAACACCGTTTTTAAGGCCATCCATGCTTGTTATCATGTTATTAATAATTTATTATGGTCACGCCTATCTTCAGAATTAATTTTCATCAAAATTAATTTTTGTTCAGAATTAATAGCAACGAAACAGACGAAAATAAGCACCAGTCGAAAATTACCCGCTATACGGTAACACATTATCCCTCAGGTGAATCTCAGTAGGCAAGTCCACGCACCATGGTGCTTCATTGGACATTGAGCTATGCACTCTACATGAAGGGTCCTGCATTTAATTAAAGTGACCTAACAACAAACTGATTGATTAATAAGAATCTAATTCCATGGTGCAAACATTCGAGCATTTGTAACGGTAGAGTTGATGTTTTTGGCTTAATTTTTCCAAACTCTGCTGGTCCTCTGTCAAATCATGTACCTCAGAGAGCAATTGTGTCAGTTAAAGGGAGTGAGGGAGGTATGATTTGCAAAATTTACTTTTGCTAAAAAAGGAGTTTGAAGTTTATAGCCTTTGAAAAAAGAATGCCCTACAGTATGTGGAATTTAATTTTGCTGGCGTAAGTGTGAGCTCTTATACGATACACCCATCAATACTTTGTGGAATTAAATTGTGCATTTTTATAATAAACAGCAAAAGCAAAATTAAATTTCAGAAAATATTTCTAGCTATACAGTGTTTAATTAATCATTAATTATTCAATACAGGGATACAGGTACAAGTTAAGAAGAGAATGACATTAGCTGAATTGAAGGAGGAGCTAGTTCCACTGATTGGTGTACCATCTACTGGTTTTAGAGTGTTTGAGATCAGAGATAATAATAAAGAATATGAAATGGAGAGACTGGATGAGATATTAAAATCTAGATCAGAGGTACATGTATGTATGTTATTTTGATTAACTTCATAATTATTTATACTACTAGTTGATAGTAAGACTGGGTAGAGCAGCAGGAAGAGGAGAGTACAAAATTAAATTATATTTATTACAAGTTAACAATACAGAAGTATAAGAATATTTCATTAGTATGATTTGTATTGATTTTGTTTTGTTTTTAGTTTTGTAAGTTTATGATGGAGTCT